CTTAGCGCCTTGCTCTTAGGGCGTTCCCGCTGCGGCAGTTACCCGGTACACCCTTCCCCATAACCCGTTACTCTTGGCCTCTTACCCGGTTACCCCAGAACCCTACCCCCCCCCCCCCCCTTAACATAATTACATAATTAAACAATAAAAATGTTTTATATAATAACCAAATTAATTTCTCTGTTCTTTAGACCACAAATAATTGGCATTCTTTTTTGTTTTTATTACTTTTTGACTTATGTTAAACTACAATGTTCTTGAGTTAATGAGTGCATGTATACACAACACACATGCAAGTTCGATTGTGCTTCAACTATTTAATTTATGCCATCTTACCTTCAAATTTTGACAGAGGAAGAAGAGAAAAACTTTCAAAGTAAATAAGCGTGCTTTAACACACAACATTTTTCATAAGAACTAAGTCAGGCATTTTAAAGCACATACTAATTTGATTCACTACAAATAAACACTCAAACCTCATTTATACGATTCAGGCACAAACAGTGAAAAGGGGAATCAACAATAAGAAAGTTGGACTGAAGATGTCGCTGTTGAAGCATTTTAATCACTATTTCAATCATGTTTTATTTCAGAGAAGAGGAAAATCTATCTTAAAAAATAAACTGCACGTTTAGAAATAGTTTAGTCTTGCTGTTGTTTACGTTTGCATCTCCCCCTTGCCTTTTAAAAACAAAATAGGAGCAACCTCTACTTGTTGACTCTGAGCTTTACGCCACCAGGAAACCTTCTGAGTGTTGTGGCCAGTGGTTGTAGAGGTACTCAACAACCAAACTTAAACTCAATTTGATGAATTTTTATTTTCACTGTATTTTTACAGTGATGATGAAGTCAATTATCTGGTACTTCTCCCCCTAATGTCAATAAATCTGGATATTAGATAATGGCTAAGAAATCCAAAATGACTGCTGCGCCCCGGCTGCATTCTTAATACAGATAATTCACCTCAATTTATAAATTAGCAAACTACAACAATAACAACAATGTAAATTGTTGATATGTGTTTTGGATAAATAAGCAAGCTATACCTACTAGTACATATGAATAGGTTGACATGGTAATATCAAATTATATTAATATCTTATGAAGTATATAACTTGTGATTATGTCCTGTATCCAAAACATTCCTTCCTGTATTGATATTTCTCAAACATAAATATGAATTAAAGCTTAGGTATAACTTCTAAGCAAGGAAATGAACTCCTACGGCCGTCAGTCGTCGTTAACCGTGTGGAGGGACGACAGGAATGCCGTTTTGAAAACTTCATCTTTAACATTATTAAGGTCTTAGGTCTTTTCTGAAAAACTTTGAGAGGGATCTGATTAATTTGCGAGGAGAAGGGCATCAATCAATAGTTACATAATAATTCCACTTCAGGTTGATAGTATACCACCTCCAGGTGTCACTCAGTGATAATCAGGACATTCTGATTTAGCATTTGAAAGTTAAAGCCACTCAAAATGTCATACATGAGCCAACTTCATTCAAAATCTTTCACCAGTTAACTTCTGGTCAATTTCAGATTATATTGAAAAAGGAAACATGATAGTTTCAATACAGATTAATAGTACACATCCCCAAGGTGTGACTCATGGATAAATAAAAGGAAACTATGAATAGTTACACAGTAATTCCACGTAAGGCAGAGAGTACACATCCCCAAAGTGTGACTCATGGATAACCAGGATATTCTGATGGACCATTCCAATATTAAAGCCTCTCAAAATACCATAAATGAGCCAAAATCTCAATCACTACAGACTACATCTGGTCAATTTCAGCACTGTCTCACGCCTCACAGCAAGAAGGTCCTGGTCCTGTCTGCGTGGAGTCTGCATGTTCTCCCCGTGTCTGCATGGCTTCTCTCTGTGTACTCCGCCTTCCTCCCACTCTGCAAAGACTTGCTCTGGGGATCAGGTTGATTAGTAACTGTAAATTGCCCGTAGCTGTGTGGATGTGAGTGTGAAAGGTTGTTTGTCTCTGTGTCAGGCCTGTGCGACCAATCCAAGGTGGGATTGACTCCAACCCCTCCGCGAGGTGAGTAGCTGTTTCTTTTTTATTGATTGATAGAGCCCAAACATATTGTTATTATGTTTATTTAATAGAATGTTGCTAATTCCTTGCTCCTTTCCTACCTTTCTGTCTTTACTTCGTTGATCTCTCCAGTGTTTCATTTATCCTCTTTTTTTGGACAAATCAAAGGGGATTTAGGAAAAAAGTATTACTTATCAGTTGTTTTCTCTAAATTGTATTTTTTCTTACTACATTTGTCTTGGCTCACACCATTTCACTACTTTCCTTTCCTACTGGACTCCTACTTCCTACCCCTTTAATCCTTAATTTTTCTTTCTTGCCTACCACACCTTTTTCTTCCATCCCCAAAATTCCTCCTACCTTTCATTAATAATATTCATTTCATACCTGGACCCCTGACTGCGTCTGTAACGAGGCGACGGAGAACGGCGAGGCCGGTCGTTGTCACGGTAACCGTCACGGCGTCTGTGGGGCTCTGGGGTTTGGAGTCGCTCCGGCTGCAGGTGGAAGAAACAAACAATATGAGATGAAATGGGCTCAGAGTGTAACGAACACCACCATGTTCTTGTGGTCCATTAAAGACTGACACGTCTTCAATCAGAAGAGGTTCCCTGACAAAAATGGAATATAAAAAACGTGATTGATCGTAACCGGTCCTTTAAGATTATTTTCATATTTCAATGACTTTAACATCTCAGCCTCCTCAAGGACGTGTCTTTTCCGTAATACAAGCACATACACACACACACACACACACACACACACACACACACACACACACACAGAGTCAGGGTTGTGGGCACGTGAATCAAGTGGCGTCTGTGAACAGATGAGCCGCAAACCTACCTGGAGGCGGGGCAGAATGATGTCACACATCCTCTCTGCATGAAGAAGCTCATCCATGAACTCGTCCACGTGCATCAACTCAAATCCTAAAACAAAAGACAAAATAGTTGATGAAACATCCACCACATAGTCAGTGCTTGTTTCATACTCGTACGGTGGCCCTGAAGTGCAAAACGCAACGGCAAATAGGAAAACACAACGACATTAAGTTCTTTTGGAAAGGGTAGGGCCTTATAGCAGGAAGCAGAGGACCCTCTTAATCCGAAGCCTTTCCCCGCGACGGAAAGTGACATGGCGGATTCAAATTACCGTGACTCCTTAACTATTCTTAAACTGAGAAATTCCGCTTCCTAGATATTATGGTCAATCAATAAATCAGTGGCGGGACCGAGAGGCTGTGATGATGGGGGGGAAGTGAGCGCAGCAGAAAGTCACGGAGAGATGCC